CGAGGTTCCTTGGCATTGAGAAACACCCTGTGTGACATGGGAGGGGCTACGCAGAGAGTGAAGGAAGACAAGGAACAGGTGTCATGAACTGTGATTCAGACTGGTGTTTGGGATTAACAGAGAGCTGAGGGAGGCTAAACAACAGACACACTAAGGGGGAGCTAGAAGAAATAAAAACAAAATAGCAATTTTAAACAGTTTCCTTTCTGACTTCTTTAAACATTTCATTCACTCATTTTTCTTCAACAGATCTGCTCTTTAGCATGAAAAAATTCTTCTGGAGTTGTTTATTTGGACGGGCACTGGCGCCCCTGCATCAGGGGGTAGGGGTTTGTCAAAGGAGTGGGGTTGGAAAAACTACAGAATTCCGAACGTTAGTCGTTCTTCCTGATATGTTAAAGTCTCACCCCTGATTGGCCAATAGAATTGCAACACTTCCACTGCTTTCAGTGACAAAACTCAGAATACCGTAAAACCTTTCCTTGGATAAAATGCAACATTGATATTTTATCTCTACAAATAACACAAACCAGAAGAAGTTCTCACATGTTGTGGATTAGCTAATGCTAATGGGTGGCTTCTACTAGCTGAGTTGCGCTCTACTCTTTCCTGGACGCAAAATTTGTGGAATGCAAAATTTTCTTGTGATATAGAAGACCAGGTTGATTTCCATCTATTTCCTTTCTGCTGTTAATGTAGACAACAGGAGCTGAAGATAATTTTCAGGTTCAACATATATTTGCAACTTAGAATGAGTGCATTGTATAAACGACAAGTTTTACAAAGACCCACAAACAAGACCTTTAACAGCTAGTTGTGCTTTAATGCTAATAACAAATTTCCTGCTGTTATTTTTGTTTACTTCTGTAAAACTGTAACAGTTAACAATGTTCGCTGCTGCTCTTTCTATAAAGACTCTGATTAGTTAAGTTACTAGATCATTGATCCATAAGACCCCTCTATCGATGCACTTGTTTTTGTCTCAGCAGATTTTAGGATGAACAGCAGGTATGCTACCTGGGCTTAAGAATGCATGGTTTCCAAGTGAACTGTGCAATACCAGTAACAGACAATCTGTAGCATCGCATTTCTCATTTAGATAATGGACACTCTCACTGAGATGTTGCTGTGAGCATTATGCTCCACAGCCTGTGACATGGGTGTAAAACAACATGGTTTCCCCTGTGACTGGATGGCATGGTTGTACATGTAGCTTTTTCTAATGATATAATGCAGATTGGAGGTTGTTGCAAGCGTGAATGATTCACAGAACATTGAAGGTCACACTTGATGTCACTTATATTTTCCTCTTACCCACACAGCCTTGAAAAACCAAGACAACACACATTAAAAAACAGCAACCCGGTATCTTTCACATATCGATTAAATCCTGCAGCAGTGTAATGTCACTGATCTGGGACTTAGGTGGACCCTGAAAGTGGGCCTCACACATCAGAGGAATCTGTCCTGTTAGCTGTGTAATGCGGAAACAAGGCGGGTGCAAACACTGGCTGGTGATGTATGTTGACACTGAGCTCAGAGTACTTAGTCAAGTATAAAGGCAGGTTTTAAAGGTAGGTGTGGAACAAGACATAAAATATTGGTCTGGGATTCCAGACGGCTATGCTCCACATCAGACGTAGATCCGCCGCCGTCACTGCAAGGCAAATATTGTGAGTAATTGAAGGTGCCACATTGCTGTATATCAGGTTTCATCATGTCCTACTAAATTACATATCACTTTCAGTCAGGTTGTGATTCATCTGTTTGCCAACAGATGTTTCATAGAATTTCAATAAGAAATGTAGTGCAATCAGTCATAAGAACAGAGATGAAACTGAAGGATTTCATTGTTCTACTTCTTGCATTATTCAAGAGCTTTAAAGATCTGACTTTTTCATAGCAGATATTCATTACTGCATCATGAACTCTGGGGAAAACAAACAATCAAACTGACTGAGTGAAGGAAGAGGTTTGTGTTTGAAAAGCAAAACTGAGGTTTTTGGACTATTCACACCCTGAGAGCTGCAAGTTCCATACCTCCAACCTCAACAGATGAGCTGTCAGCTTTGACCTGGTAAGTATTAGATCAACACCCAGGGGCAAAGGGCTGGGTAATGTAAACTAAATAATTCAACAGACCCAGAACTAGAAAGTAGCCCTGGATTTGACATTGCAGACACTGTCGCAGGTCCCAACAGCCAAGAGGAACACTGAATTTCTACATAATGTAGCAAAATTCCCCACAGCAGTTTCACGGGTTTTATCCTCCTGAGTAACAGGGTGTTGTTAGCCCAGTTTTTCTAGTTGAAAATAGTGTGATCTAGCCTCAGGACTCTGTGGGGGAGACCCTGTCAAAGAACAGAGATGAGAGAAAAGCCCAAAAAGACTCAGAGCCAGAACCGATCAATTCTGAATTAGAAAGCACAGAATTCTCAGACTTAAACCAGCAGAGGTGAGGAGCAGGTTGGTGTGCCAGTTTGATCAATATTTCTTTCTAACTGGCCAAAAGGCACATTTTATTCCTGTTTGACCAAACTGTACAAAAAGGTGGTTGGTTTTAGAACAGATTCACAGATTACTGGAGAAACCCCTGAAAACTAAAGGTTGTATATTTTTCTAACAATCTGGTGCTGCTTGAAGGTAAAGTTGTGCTATGACAAGCTTCTTTTGTTTGTTTTTGCTTTCTTTTTGTCACCTTTACATTTGTCAGAGGAGTACATCTATTATGTACTTTATTATTATTGTTGTTGTTATTATTATGAAAGAATTGCTGTGTCCATAACATTTATGATTATGATACTAATCAGATACATAAATGGAAAATTTCCCCTGTGATAAATATCAACATTTAAAGTGACAGTGTTTAGTTTTCACCTGTGGAGCAGAAAGCATGCGACCTTGGCGTGACTTCAGAATTTGATGGTCCTTCAGTTAATTCTATCGAGAAAATGCAATGCTGATTGCAGTTTTCTAGCGTTGTACTCTCTGGATTTGTTCGGGTCCTGCACCTGCCAATGACGGCTTGATTCTACGGCAATACCACTCGGCCAAAATATATTGCATTTCTTTTTCGGTTTTGGACAGAGTTAACACTAGAACTCCCAAGGCAGTAATTTTGACTGTTTTCAGATTTTGATATGTAATAACTTTAGTTAGATGAGCTCATGTTGTCCTGGCTTCCTGTTTTTTCCTATTTTTATGTGTCCTTTATTTTTGCTTTATAATTTCCATAAAATAATGTATCAAAAAAGAAATATAGCTGTTTTTGTCTTTGTGCCCCACAAACCGTCAATTTGATGGCTCTATTGTTTACATGGTAAAGTTTTCCCGCGGATAACGGACAGCGTCGCCATTGCTAAGCAATCAACTTCCCAGCTCGCGCACGCTCCCTCTCTGTTCATGCTGTGTGTGAAATAGTGGCTTAAACAGCTTTTAGAAGAACATTCTCAGTGAAACAAGCATGAGAAATGAGTCTGCTTCAGCCGGAGAGGGGAAAGCTGTTGAAAACTGGTCAGTAGAAAGCAGCAGAGACTCTTGACAGCAACACAGAAGAAGATCTGGGACACCTCGCCCCCACCCACGGAAAGGATCTGTGTCAGTCAGCCAGCGAACAATACAGAGACTTCTTTTCAAGGTTTGGATTCAAATTATATTTTCTTACTATTTCATGAGGGTCACACATCCACAAAGAGTTAATTTATAAAGCACTTGAACCATTTTGCTCCACAACGTCATTGTCAGCCTGCATTTAATGGCCAAAAGGACAGCAGTCAAACTGATGGTTCCTGGGAGTCCTAATGTTAAGCATTTTTGTTAATAAATTCATGTTTTTTACAGACTAAATGTTTCGGATTTGGTAACGTAATATATATATATATATATATATATATATATATATATATATATATATATATATATATATACATATATAGTGGCACAGTGGTTAGAGTTCCCGGCCTGGGATCTTTCTGCATGGAGTTTGCATGTTCTCCCTGTGCATGCATGGGTTCTCACCGGGTACTCCGGCTTCCTCCCACAGTACAAAAACATGACTGTTAGGTTAATTGGTCTGTCTAAATTGTCCTTAAGTGTGTGTGCATGATTGTTTGTCCTGTGTGTCTCTGTGTTGCCCTGCGAATAATATTTTACAGCCCTGTGTGTCATGGTCTGTGTCTGCGTCTTTCCCCATGTGTCTCCTGATGTCCTCCATCCCTCTTTAGATTCCCCTTTTGTGTCTCTTAGCGCCCTCATGTGTCCTTTGTCTGCGTCTTATTGATGTGCCTTCTGTTTGTAGCCTTTCAGGTCATCCCCAGTCCCTCCAGATGTAGCTCCAGCCTCTTTGTCCCCAGCTTGGTGTGTGTGTGTCATTCCCCAGCTTAGTGTGTGTGTGTGTGTCCTTCTCCAGCTGTGTGTGTGTGTGTGTGTGTGTGTGTGTGTGTGTGTGTGTGTGTGTGTGTGTGTGTGTGTTCTTCTTCAGTGTCCTCCCCCGCGCCTTCCTGCTCCTCCTCCCTGATTAGTTATTACCTTCACCTGGTTCTCTCCCCACACACCTGCAGCTCATCTGCCTCCCATTATGCCCCAGTCTATAAAGCCCTGTCTGTTTCTCATTGTCTTGTCAGTTCATTGTTGTTTGTCAGTGTTGTGTGAGCTTCCGTTCTCGTCCCCAGTCTGTGCTCTATATGAGCTTTGTTCTCCTGCTTCCTGGATTTTTGGATTTTGGCTCCCTGCCTTTTGGATTTATTTTGTTCTTCCTACAATAAAATGACTTTTTCTTTATATCAAGTCCTGCCTCGTGTCATCCAGTGTAACTGCATTTTGGGTCCAAACCATCCTCTCAACGTGACAGAATGAACCGACCAACACGGGACCCAGCAGAATCCTGGACTCCACCATCAGACCGCTATTGGTACTGTGGCGACCCAGATGGATGCCGTGCCTTCATTGAGGCATGCGCTCGCCAGGACTTGGCATTTTCGGATTTCGATAGGCTAGCCGTCATGTTGTACAGTTTGGGTGGTAGCGCCCTGGAGTGGGCTGCAGACAGTCCAAGGGTCGAGGCCTCAAGGCCAAGGGTCGACACCTCCAGTCCAAGGGTCGACGCCCCCAGGCCAGAAGTCGACACCCCCGTCTCAAAGTCGACAGAAGTAGACGTCTCCAGCCCCAGCTCTGAAGTCGACGTCTGCAGCCCCAGCTCTGAGGTCGACGTGTCCAGCCCCAGCTCTGAGGTCGACGTCTCCCCATCTCAAGTCTCGACGGCCACGTCTCAAGTCTCCACAAGTGCCTTTCCAAGAGGCTCCGGTCCAGCCCGTCCACGAGGCTCCGGTCCAGCCAGTCCGAGAGGCTTTGTCCAGTCCGTCGCCCCCAGTCCAAGGGTCAACACCTCCAGTCCAAGGGTCGACGCCTCCAGGCCAAGGGTCAACACCTCCAGGCCAAGGGTCAACACCTCCAGGCCAAGGGTCGATGCCTCCAGGCCAAGGGTCGACGCCTCCAGTCCAAGGGTCGACGCCTCCGGTCCAAGGGTCGATGCCCCCAGGCCAGAAGTCGACGCCCCCTCTCTCTAAGTCGACAGAAGTAGACGTCTCCAACTCTGAAGTCGACTCCTCCAGCTCTAGCTATGAAGTCAACGTCTCCAGCCCCAGCTCTGCAGTTGACGTCTCCAGCCCCAGCTCTGAAGTTGACGTCTCCAGCCCCAGCTCTGAAGTTGCCGTCTCCAGCCCCAGCTCTGAAGTCGACGTCTCCAGCCCCAGCTCTGAAGTCGACGTCTCCAGCCCCAGCTCTGAAGTCGACGTCTCCAGCCCCAGCTCTGAGGTCGATGTGTCCAGCCCCAGCTCTGAGGTCGACTTCTCCCTGTCTCAAGTCTCGACAGCCACGTCTCAAGTCTCGACTGCCACGTCACAAGTGTTCCAGTCTCCCGAGTTCCTGGCTCAAGTCTCCCAACAAATGTTCCAGTCTCCCGAGTCCCAGGCTCAAGTCTTTCCACAAGTGTTCCAGTCTCCACAAGTGTTCCAGTCCCCAAAAGTGTTCCAGTCCCCCAAGTGTTCCTGTCTCCAGCGTCCCCACAAGTGTCTACGTCCCCAGTGTTCCAATCTCAAGTGTTCCAGTCTCAAGTGTCCCAGTCTCAAGTGTTCCAGTCTCAAGAGTCCCCTGTGTTCCAGTCTCAAGTGTCCCAGTCTCAAGTGTTCCAGTCTCAAGAGTCCCCTGTGTTCCAGTCTCTCGAGTCCCCTGTGTTCGAGTCTCTCGAGTCCCAAGTGTTCCAGTCTCTCGAGTCCCAAGTGTTCCAGTCTCAGTCCCCGTCCCCAGAGTTCCAGTTTCAGTCCCCGTCTCCAGAGTTCCAGTCTCAGTCCCCGTCTCCAGAGTTCCTGTCTCAGTCCCTGTCTCCAGAGTTCCAGTCTCAGTCCCTGTCTCCAGAGACCCTTCCTCGTCCTCTGAAGTCCCTTCCTCGTCCTCCTCCTCCAAAGCCCCAGATCCCCAGGGTTCCCCGTCGCCGGCCCCCAAGACTTCCCTGGTCCCTCCTCCTGGTTACCCGTCGCCGGTCCCCAAGACTTCCCTGGTCCCGCCTCCTGGTTCCCCGTCGCCGGCCCCCAAGACTTCCCTGGTCCCACCTCCTGTTCCCTCCTCACCCGCCCTTGTGGGTTGTTTTTTTGTTTGGTCCCTCCTCTCCCGCCCTGTGGTCTCTCGTATCCTGTTTTTGTCTTGTCTTTTGCTTGTGGTGTGGTTTTGTCTGTCTTGTGGGCGTCTGGTATTTGCCCTAAGGGTGGGGGTACTGTCATGGTCTGTGTTTGCGTCTTTCCCCATGTGTCTCCTGATGTCCTCCATCCCTCTTTAGATTCCCCTTTTGTGTCTCTTAGCGCCCTCATGTGTCCTTTGTCTGCGTCTTATTTATGTGCCTTCTGTTTGTAGCCTTTCAGGTCATCCCCAGCCCCTCCAGTTGTAGCTCCAGTCTCTTTGTCCCCAGCTTGGTGTGTGTGTGTGTCATTCCCCAGCTTAGTGTGTGTGTGTGTGTGTGTGTGTGTGTGTGTGTGTGTGTGTGTGTGTGTGTGTGTGTGTGTGTTCTTCTCCAGTCAGGTTTGGTGTCCTCTCCTGCTCCTCCTCCCTGATTAGTTATTGCCTTCACCTGGTTCTCTCCCCACACACCTGCAGCTCATCTGCCTCCCATTATGCCCCAGTCTATAAAGCCCCGTCTGTTTCTCATTGTCTTGTCGGTTCATTGTTGTATGTCAGTGTTGTGTGAGCTTCCGGTCTCGTCCCCAGTCTGTGCTCTATGTGAGCTTTGTTCTCCTGCTTCCTGGATTTTTGGATTTTGGCTCCCTGCCTTTTGGGTTTATTGTGTTCTTCCTACAATAAAATGACTTTTTCTTTATATCAACTCCTGCCTCGTGTCATCCGGGGTAACTGCATTTTGGGTCCAAACCATCCTCTCAACGTGACACCGTGTGTCTAATGATGACTTTATTACCACATTAAAAAGCTGTTTACCCCAATTTTTATGACTTCTAAATATGATAATAAATTCAGATACAGCGACATTTCCACTGAGACAAAAGTCTAAACTGAATTTGTTAAAATCATGTGACGCAGTTAAATAGGAATTCATTTTGGACTCTGAGTACTCTATTTGTCTTATTACAAAATATTCTAATAAAAGTACCAGCTAATCTGTTTCTAATGTGTATGTAAGGGAACATCTGTTTAGTGACCCAGAAAAACACAGTTCAAACTGTTTCAAAGGTCTCCTTTCAGGGCCTCGAAGTGGACTGAATGTGTCCTGAATGTATCCTTGAGATCCAGCAAAGGTTTCCACATTTGACAAGGGAAAAAAAAGTTTCCAGGATTTTAAAATTATTTTTATGCTTTGCATTCTCCCTCGCTGCCTTTGGTGGTTAAGTCTCTTTGCACATTAGTGCCAACAGTCTCTCAGCATGCCGGCCTGAAACCAACAGCAGGATATGACTTTGCAACTCAAGGCTTGTGTGCAAGATAAAGACAAATAAACCAATGAATTAAACATTATTCTATAGCACTGCTAGTGGTTAGACACTTGGAAGTTCACCTTTAAATTTATGAAAAAGTTGCAAAACTCATTCAGAGTTATGAGAAATAACCAGGAGACTGTTGCATGTGTGTTATGAAACCTGATTTCAGATTCAGTGGAGAAGTAAGTGCAATCATTAAGGCTGTAAATATAATCAACATTGATTAGGTATTTTATCTCTGATATTATTTTCATTCAATTTAAAGGGCAGTTTTCCTCTCTGCGGTTGCTTCATGCTCTCTTAGTATTGGAACCTGTTTTACATTCAATTCAATTCCAAAATACTTTATTAATCCCAGAGGGAAATTGATTTAGGGCCCTTTTAACTAATTGGCATAATGAACTGAACTAAATTAATTGATAAGTAGGTTTCACTGAAATGTTTACTTAGTACAGTGCCTTGTGATGACTCTTGGAAGGAATTGGTGCGTGTAAGTAATCTGAATTAACAGGTAGAAGTAGAGCCTCGTCAGGCACAGCCCAGAAAGGAGACTTGGGTCCCCCTTTCCATGAGCTGACCACTAGTGGGAGGGGCCAAAGAGGTTGGGTACATTGTGTGTCCGGTAGTAGCCAAAGGCAGAGACCTTGGCAATCTGATCCCCCCTCCTAATGCAAGCAGTTGTCATGAGCCGGGGTGAGTACTCCTCATTCTCTTAACATCTCTGAGTCTCTTGCCAGGAGAGGGAGTGCCACCAGCTGTTCCTGATCTGCAATCAGCGGGGCGCTTCCTACATAAGGTGGATGGAGGACACAATTCGACGCCGGAAGGCTGCCACAGCTTGGTAGTACCCAGCCACGTATGTTCTCTAGGATCTCTAGGATAAACTTTGCTAGTAGTGTTTTTTTTGGTCTAGGTTTTAGACTTTGGATTTTTACTTACCTCTTGGAGCTGTCTCAGGATTTCTCTCACTTCCAGGATTCCAGTGTTTTCCCTCTGGTCGCTGAGCTTTTGGATACTCACCTCAAGACTCCTGGGTTTGGAAACTCAGATCCTCCAGGACCCACTCACCGTTTCTCCGAAACTACTCACCAGACATTTCGGCTCAGTGTCTCCCATCCACCAAAACGCCCTGCTCACCTCCACCTGTGCTCCCTCTCTTACGCTCCCCCCCCCCCCCCCCCCCCCCCCCCCGGCTCTCGACCTGCTCCCTCCTCCAGCCAGCTACTCTTACCTGACTGTAAGTCCCTCGTACCAACCTAGGACATTAATGGACCTCTGGATTTACATGCAATTACTCACAAGTGTTCTCCCTCCTCCAGACGCAGAGCTCCCATGTCTGTGAACCTGCCACTGACATTCAGTGCACCTTCAGTTTCTTTATTTAGTAAAATAAACAAATTATTTTTCCCCCATCTTTGGTCTGTGTTGTGTTCTGCATGTCTTGGGTTAGGCTCCTTCCCCCAAACATGACAGCAGTAGGAGAGCCTTTGGGCGCAGGGTATAACGCCTGCGAAGACATGTGCAGAAGACGGGCATACGGCATACATTTTAGAACATCCTCAGGTGTCAGGTATCAGGTCTCTGGTCTCAGGTGTCAGACTTCAGATCATGGGAAAAAGAAGCCTCAGGTTTAAACAGCAACAGCTTCAGGAAACATCCTCAGGTCTCAGTTGTCACGTGTCAGTTCTCAGGTGTCAGTTCTCAGTTGTCAGACATCGTCTGAGTCGTGGTGCTTTTGGACAACGGCAGGGGAATCAGGACAACCGCGGTGTATGTCCCACATCCCAGCCTCCCCGACACCCCCCGCCGTTGTTAGGAGACCCAAGGGAAGACCCAGGACACGCTTGAGGGACTATGTCTCTCGGCTGGCCGGGGAACACCTTGGGATTCCCCCGGAGGAGCTAGTCCAAGTAGCTGGGGAGAGTGAAGTCTGGGCCTCTGCTTAGGCTGCAGCCCCGGCAACCTGACTCTGGATGAGAGGCTGAAAATGGATGGATAGATGGCTGGATGGATGGAGCTAAGCATAAAAATTGCACGTCTCACGAGATCCAAAAAAATATAACCTTATTTTTTTTCTTTATTACATGTAATCTATGATTTAACTTCATGCAAGCAATCCAGCAATGGTTGAATCGAACCAGATTCCCCTGGCCGTCATCACGGTTAGATCTAAACATCGTGCTTTCAAAAGCCTAATTTATACTTCTTCGTCTACGTCGGGACAGACACACGCAACACCACTATGCATCGACACAAGTGCCTTCTGATGGGTTTGCGGAAGAAGAAGGAGACATGCTCCAAATTTTAACTATCCTTTGAAAGAGATGGAGACCACAAGCTTGTGACTGGTCAGGACGCTGTTTCCTGTTTTCATTCGTCAATAGCACCGTCTTTGCCACTTCAAAAAATAAAGAGATATTTAGCGTCAGACACGGAACAGATTGAAGAATGCATCGCGGAAAAAGTCTGAACATATGAACATTTACTCATTCAAGACTGAAGGAGTAAAATGATATGCAGCAAGCATTTAACTCTTGGACATAAAAGACAAGAAAAATGGGTTTAGAGGTGCTAATTGCACGAAGAGGTGGAGGGGAACAAGGACCAAATTTGTCCATGTTCAAAAGTCTCTGAAACTCATTAAAAATTTTAAACATAATAGCAAATACTCTATCATGGACTGGATACATGACCGTAAGGGTTGCAGGATATCTCAGAATAGCGCTAAGCCCTCTGTTATCCCGGAATTGTTTTGCAACAATCCCCAGCTGATCAAGAAGTCTGAAAGCAAAACATGTCTATCAATGCGTGCGTGTCTCTCCCTCACGGCGTTGATGGAGAAGTTTAAATTAGGCTTAAGAAGCATCCCAAGTGGCAACTTTATTACGGCGAAAAACAGGGGGCCAAGAATGGAGTCTTGAGACAGCCCCAAATTATGGTTAACACAAGAGGAAAACTCGCTCAACTGCACACAGAAATCCCTCCCCAACAGGTAGGAGCTCAACCGCTTGGGAGCCAGTCCCCAATTGTGCTAAATGTACATAATTCTAAAATAAATTCCAATTTCTAAGCTTCAAAGAACCTAAAACTTCAGTAATTGTGCATAAAAGAAAGTAATAAATTGATGAACAAATCGAAACTAACAAAAATTCTAAAACCCAAAGTTTATTTGTTGATGATCAGTTTAGATTTCAGCAACAACAGATGTAAAGAACCCCTAATGTTTACAGTAACACATAAAGTCTTCCTCTTAACTGGATTAAACAAACAGTTGTTGGATTTCAGAAGCCGCTTCTTTTCCCAACAGGCTAAAACGTAGGGTTAAAAAGTGTGACATTCTGTAATTTATCGTCAGCTGATGTGCTTTCCTCCTCTGCTTTGCAGAGAGCAGTGGGCCAATGAATAATTGAATCTGTGGTTGTACAGCCACAAAGTGTAGCAGCGAGCTGGCTGTGATAGAGCCTGGCTGAACAAACCGAGAACAGCAGGAGTGTTTTAGCAGCCTGGCTGAAGCTCTGTGATGCCACCTCTAGTCTGGCAGCGACAGATCGCTATGTAACGAGCCTCATTAGAACGCAACTCCATCGCCACATCAAAGCCTTCTCTTTCTAAACCAGGAGTGGGATCACAATCCTTGGGATATTTCAGCACCTACTCTATCCCCAAACCTTCACATCTGCCTCTGCGGGAGCAGAAGGAGTTTTGGGGTCATTTTCAGATCCGTGCTGCTGCCGAGAAATGGAGGCAGCAATGATTATTACTGAATTATGAAAATGATCTGGAGGATGGAGAAAGGTAACTCAGAAGGATGTTTTGTTGTTATTGTTGTATTTTTTCCCCGGGCCAACTGTGTTGCACATTTCCTTGTTAAGGACATTCACTGTATAGTAAATGTCTGAGTGAGAAGGCTGTGACCTCGTTTCCATCTGATCTCCCACAAACACACACGTGCTCCTCTTCTCTACTCTACATTACTCTAACTGGAGCTCAGTTTATGCAACTGCTGCCAGACACTCCTCTGCTCTCTTTGTCTGGGTCATTTCTTGTTTCCAAAAGAAAGTTTTATGTTTGACTCTTTGTAGCATCCTTTTCTCTGTGTGTCTTTTTTCTGAGCCTAACATTCGTTATCCAGGATTTTGCAACTTGATTTTAGGTGATTTCATGCTTAGGTGCTGACCTCTGTGTTAGTCCAATAATGTGTCTGGTCACTGAACCTATTCTCACATCAAAGTAAATAATAAACTAAATTGTTACTGGGAACCACAATCTTTACGAGAACTTCTCTTAATGTCTGTACAAAAATTTCAACTCAAATGTGTAGATATAGAAGGAATGTCTGCAATCTCAGAATTTATCAAACCTTTTTGGAAATGTTTTAAATGTAACCTGTTGGTACCACTTCAGACCCCTTTTGCCTTCAGAACCACCTTGAACTTCACCCTTGAAGATTCAATGAGGTGTTGTAAATGCTAAGACATTCTGGTCCAGACTGACATGACATTATCCGCTCCATCCATGAGGATGACCACCCCTTCCACCACATCCCAAAGGTTGGACTGACTCTGGAAGCTGTTGGGGTCCGGTGAACTCATGGTCATGTTCTAGAAACCAGTTAGAGATGATCTGAGCTTTGTGACATGGTGCATGATCCTGGTGGAAGTAGCATCAGAAGATGGGTCTATGTGGTCATGAAGGAATGGAGATGGTCAGCAGCAATGAAGGTGATTAGCTGATTTATTAACAATCTATTGAACAGACATACCTAAAAAAGTGGCCAGTGAGTGTGTAGCCTGTGTTGCTCTTTCACAACAGAGCTTCAATCCCTTCGTCAAAATCTCAGCAGGGTTCTCCAAAATAATGCACACTTGGTTAGTTGGAGATTGATTTTAGGTGTGTGTGTGCGTGCGTGCATGCTCAGTGTGTGTTTGTTTCATGTGATGGACCATCCAGTTCCACACCCCTCTCTGGGCTCCAGCTTCCACTCATCTGAATAGAATAAAACAGAGTTTAAAAACCACACATTATAATCTATATTTAACACAAAACAATTGTGTGCTTTATAAAAAATCATAATTAGATGGCACTGTTCCCCTAAAACAAAACCTCCCTCTTTCCGTGTGTTTTTTTTTAAACATTGTAGCAGCTACTTGGTCCAGATGTACTTGTTGGTATTTTTAAGTCCCTTCTGTATCGTCTACAGCGGGGGTCGGCAACCCGCGGCTTTGGAGCCGCATGCGGCTCTTCCATCCATCTGATGCGGCTCTCTGTGCTTGTAAAATAATGAATGGATATTTAAATAAAAAGCTTTATATTTTACTGCATTAATTTTACATCTGTATGCCAATTCTAAATGTAAAGATTGTCTGCGTTAACCTGAAAAGTTCCAACCCGGTCTTACTGTGAGACCGGGTTGACGGGTCACGCTTGTGCGTAATCATAGGTGCTTTCTGAGCTGACGAGGATGTCAGATTCTGGGATTCTCCAATCCAATCCCCTCTCCACATCTTCAGCTCACTGTGCACCTTATGTACGCGCTGACAGTGAGCTGCGCTGAGCAGTGTCCAGCTCAGATGTTCAGATGGGAATCTTTTCTTGAGTGATTTAGCTACATCTGCGATGTGCGAAACGAATAAAATGTCAGTTTGTCTGCATGCGTCGGGGTAATTCTTTCTATTCTTTCTCCGTCAAAATAAACGGTGAAATACGGGAACTGTCCGGTTAACACAACACATGCCCTGCTTTTAACTGTTCTGTTTTCTTGTGAAAATAGATATAATTTAACTTGATTAACACCAGAGCCAGGCGCACTGCACCGTTATCTCCGTCACTGTAAATGAGGGAAAAACAAATTGATCGGATCCTTTTCTGACCTTCCCCACCTACAAAGTTTAATTACAACAACCAAATGTGACAGAGCCTGGATTTGTATTCTGAACAGTCTAAACATGTTTTAAAAAGAAACGTATGACAAAAGTGGCACCTGCTCAGTAAAACCACCAACAGGGTGAAAAATATCAAAATATTGTAGACAGAGACGGGCTACAACTTCTGGATCCACTTTATATAAATCGTTTTATTGATTATCGTCTTATGAAAGATAACTTTGACGTACACGAGCGACCGGTAGTGAGCAGCGCTCTGCTGTCTGAGGGTAGGC